CTTCTGATCTTCCTGCCTCTACCTCCCATGTGCTAAGATTACAGGTATGGGCCACCATACCCAATTTATGTGGTGCTGGGGTTCAAACTTGAGCTTTGTTTATACTAGGCAAACACTCTACCAACTGAGCTATATCCTCAGTCCAAATATCAGACTTTTTGATGGGATACATTCTATGAAATGTCCGTTTTTTATGTACACAGGCAGGAAGGAAAGCTAGCGTTCCTTGTGAGAGATGCAGGGCTCAGCTCCTGGCAATCTATGCCAGTCTTCCTATTTCCTCACGAAGTGTGCTGAAGAAAATACAAGCGAAAGACCTGGGGGTGCATCCTCAAATATGGTATTTTGTAAGCCTCGGTCTGTACTACTTCTGACAACCTAGGAAAAGCCAAGAAAAAAACAACTATCACGAAGCTAATCTCAAATCCTTTGTAAGCACCAACTTACACCATAAATAAAAAGCTAATTAAACAGAATGGACTTGCTGTGTAGGCTTCTGGGAAAAACATGCACAAGATTCATAACTAGTGCCTTTAACACAGGCTCTATGAACCCTTTTAAATGCATTTCATAGTTTGTCAGACCCCGATTTCAGTGTGGGAAGTAAAACATGGCCAAGAAGGTATAAAAATATTAAACTGAGCTGGGCAGCACTTGGTAGGTAGAGGCAGGATATCTGCAGTTCAAGAGGTGAAGTCCAGGCCAGGCATGACGGCACACACCTTTAATTCCAGCACTGGGGAGGCAGAGGCAGGTGGATCTCTGAGAGATCAAGGCCAGCCTGGTCTACATAGTGAGTTCCAGGTCAGTCAGGGCCACATAGTGAGACCCTGTCTCTAAAACAAAATAAAACAAAAAAATAAAATAAAATAAAAAGTAAAATAAAATAATAAATAGTTTAAGACATGACATTATCTTTTACGAACTCTTTTTTTAAAAAATAGTTTATTATTATTTTTCTTTCTTTTTTTTTTTTTTTTTTTTGGTTTTTTTGAAAAAAGGTTTTTTTTTAGCCCCAGCTGTTCTGGAAATCAATTTGTAGAACAGGCTGGCCTTCAACTCACAGAAGTGTGCCTGCCTCTGCCTCCCGAGTGCTGGGACTAAAGGCATGCACCACCACACCTGGCTTTATTCATTATTTTTATTTTATGTGTATTCGTGTATTGCCTGCTTGTAGGTACGTGCACCCGTATCATGCAATGCTCACAGAGGATGATAGAAGAAGCTATCGGATCCTCTGGAACTGGAGTTAGGGACAGTTGTTAGCTCCCATGTGGGTGCTGGGATTCGAACCTGTATCTTCTGCAAGAACAACCGGTGTTTGTAACTGGTGAACCATCTATCCAGCCCAAAGACATGACATTATCTTAAACAACGTTATTATCCCCAACACCTAGAACAGTCTGGCATAGCAGATGCACAGCCAACAAATGAATTAACATTTACTATCCTTCGTTTTAACTGCATTCAACAGCTACAACAGAATCAACAATATACATGCAGAGGAAGGAAAAAGATTCAGTCAGGGCAGGTGAGAAAAGACTTCCTTCCCAGGAGTAGTGAGGGCAGAGTGGCTTTTTCCTACAGGGCAGCTTTTCATCAGACAGTGGCTGCAGGAGGCAAGCTATGTAGTCAAGAGCTTGCCCAAATCCAGGCTGTAGCAGATGGCCTGAGCTACTTTCCAATTCAAATTGCTACCAGGGTTCTATTTCCTGGGGTTCTGTTGTATTTCGTCATCTCCTTTAAACCTTAAACTATAAAAGTGTATATTCAGAAAGGCTGTTGTGCTTCTCCATCAGGAAGTTAGCTGAAAGCAAACAGCAGGAAACAGAAAAATACTGAGGAATGTTTTCTTATTTAGAAGACTGTGGGCCCCTAGGACTCTCACTCAGATCTGGGAGGAAAATGTAGCAGCATTACACGCACCCAAGCCAACAAGCCACTTTCAAAAAATAAACTATGGTCTTTTATTTTTCTTTCTTTGCTTAAGTTTTTTTTGTTGTTGTTGTTGTTCTGTTTTTTTGTTGTTGTTTTTTTTTCTTGTCTTTTTGAAGCAGGGTCTCCCTGTAGCCCCAGCTGTCCTGGAACTCACTATATAGACCAGGCTGGCCTTGAACTCACAGAGATCGGCCTGCCTCTGCCTCCCGAGTGCTGGGACACCACACCCAGAGAAAATTTAAACATTTAAAAATCACATCTTACTACAGGAAGGAACTGTAAAGGAGTGAAGGCATTTAAAAGAACAGAAACTAAGCTTTAGAACAGAGGAATGTTAACTAAAAATTTTTTAATTATTTTATTTATTATTTTTATTTTATGTGTATGAGTGTATTGCCTGCATGTATGCGAGTGCACCCATGTCGTGCAGTGCCGCGGGGGTCAGAAGAGGGCTTCGGAGTCCCCTGGAACTGGAGTTAAGGACGGTTCCTAGCCGCCATGTGGGTGCTGGGAATTGAACCCGGGTCCTCTGCAAGAGCAGTCAATGCTCTTAACCACTGACCCATCTCTCCAGCCCCATTAACTAATATTTTTAAAAATTAGAGCAAAAGAGAAGAGCAAGTAAAAAAATTTCATTTCAAAACTCCTAAGTGGAGAAATAAGCTGTTTCGGATCGCATGTGCTTTAAAAGTGGAAAGGGTGGGGCTGGAGAGATGGTTCAGCGGTTAAGAGCACAGGTCGCTCTAGCAGAGATCCTGGGTTCAGTTCCCAGCAGTCTATAACTCCAGTTTCAGGGGAATCTGACACCTCTTCTGGCCTCTGCGGACATTATACAACACTAGTGCACTTAAATACATACAAGTAAAACATTCCTACACTAAATAAATAAATGTGAGGGCACAATTATTTAGTTCAACAGACAATGCTGCCGAGCGAGCAATCAGAAGTCTTTTGCTCTCATGCGTCATAGCAAGACCAACGGTCTGACAGATGGAGCACTGAGAGCCTACCTTCCCCCTCAACCTAGGGAGCATCAGGGGGGTGTGCATCTCCTTCCTCTAGGCTCACCTGACATCAAGCTACCAGATGGGCACCAGTCCAACTTCCCAATTCCAACAACATGAGGGCTATTAACTACGCGGCAGCGGATGGGATAACTTCAAGATCAAGTGCATGGCGTGAGAGAAGTCAGCCAGCCAGCCCACAACCCCCAATAAAGCCTACTCCCATTTTTTAGTCCACGCCGGAGGTTCAGTGTGAACCTCTTCATGCCAATGGGAACAAGTCCAACTGAGGTGCAAGGGATATTATGAAATGGGCTGGGATACTCTAGCTTTATCTCCCCTAACCATCTTCAGATCCTCGGTACAACCTACACACAAACCCTCAGGCTGCTGTCCCTCAAAACTGTATTCCAAATACTGAAAGAGTAAATAGGAATAAAGGAACTGGGCTGTAGCTCAGGGGTAGTGCTTGCCTAGCATTCACGATGGTCTGGTGGGTGGGTGGGATGAACAGAGAAAAAGAATTAAACTGAGCAAGGTGCACTTGTAATCCCAGCTGAGGCAGGGGCGTCACAAATGCCAGGCTAGGTTGGGGAACCTATCTCAAAATAACATGTAAGGGCTCAGGGTGTGAAGACGACTTGCCACCCTGAGGACTCATCTTCCATTCCCAGGACCCATAGAGTGGAAGAAGAGCTCCTATTCCTGCAGGCTGTGTTCTGACCACCATATACACTCCATGGCGTGACCATAATAAATAAATAAATTTAAAATTTTTACATTTAAGACAGGGTTGGGGTGTAGCTCAGTGGTAAAAGCACTTGCCTAGCCTGTGCAAAGATCTGGATTCAATCCCCAGTGGTGTGGAGGGGGACACACTTGAGGTAACAGTATCCCTAAGAGAACATTAAAAATACAATCTGGCACACGTAGCACTTCTGTCTTAGACTTGGGTATGAGGAGAAGTGTCCTTGAGAAGCCGAATAAAGGCTAGCTTTTAAAACTTGCTACAGAAGTAATGAATAGGCTGCCTAAGCAGTCGCTTCAAGTACTTGCTTTAAAGCTTTCCTCCTGCGTTCCAGCAGTCCTCCACCCACCTGTTCACACTAACCCGAGTTTCTGAAATGCAGATCCAAAGACAAAACCAGATAACCAGCAATAACTACCTTGGGTACAGAGAAGAACGGAAACAATGGGGGACACCCCCCCCCGGACAGTAACACACTTCAGAAGCGAGTAGCTAATTACGCATATCTGCCTAGGGGGAGCGTCCCGCAGCACCTCCGCCCACCTCTGCCGCGGCTCTCTGGCCCTTTTCATGCTTATTCCTTTGGAACTGGGAGCAGCAGGAGAAGAGGGATATGGGAGGAACTTGTCAGACTCGGAGATGAGGCAATCTACATCCTTAAGTCCACCGCACCCGCCGAGGGAAACATTCTCAGAAGCCACTTCCAGGAAGGCTGAATTCAAAATGCAATTTATCAGACTGAGTCTCCTTCTGGTCTCCAGGCGGCCAGGCCCCAGCTGGAGGAGGAGGGAGAGCTGGCGGGGGCTGTTTGACTCGGACCCAGGCAGCGAACTCACAGGCACGCTCCGGGCTGCAGGGGTGCGCGCCGCAGGGTCCCCGCGCGCCGCTGGCCGCGACTCCCACAGGTGTCCCCGGCTCCCGCTGGGGAAGGAGCGGCGCGGCTCGGAGGACCAGGGCAGGGGCGGATGCGGGTGGGACCAAGGGGCTGTGCCTTCCCGGGGCGGCAAAGACAGCCCAGCGCTCGCTCAGCCAGATGCCGAGGGTCCTCGCCCACGCGGGAGCACTCGATGCAGCACCTCCCACCATCCTCCCGGCCAGCCTCGGCCTCCTCCCGGGCGCGGTTAAGCCGCGCGAACGCGGGCGGCTGGCTGCATGCGCCGCGGCACGTACGGGCACACGCGGGCGGGGGCAGGGCGCCGAAGGGACCCGAGCCCGCCAGGCCCCCCGGAGCCTGAGATCGCCCTCTCTCCCGGCCGGACGACCCCACTGGGCTCCGCCCCGGCCCTCGCTCCCCGGCCCCAGCCCCTCACCCGTGTTGGTCTTGAGGTTCTCCCGCAAGAAGTGGCCGCTGGAGAGATGCTGGAGGCCAAAGTTCTCCGCGATCCTCTGGCACACAGTGCCCTTGCCCGAGCCAGGCGGCCCAAGGATGACCGCCCGCAGGAGTTTGGAAGCCATGCCTTGGCGACGACCGGGCAGCCGAACCGCACCCCACGAACTTTGTGTGTAGACCCGGCCTCAGCACCCCTGCACGCGCGCGGGGACTCGCCAGCCGCCCCTACAGGGAAGGAGAGGTTTGAAGACGGCCCCGCCCTCGGCCCCGCCCCTCCGCCTCCACCTCGGCGCGGCTGGACCCCGTGGCGCACCCGGCCCCCCGCCCGGCGAGCTCTGCCTCTGTGGTCAGAGGTAGACCAGGCCCACCCCGGTCTCCCCCTCCATCCCACCCCGCCCCACCCCGGGACTCCCCAGCCCACTACCCGCGCCCGGTCCTGACGAGCCGCTGCGGGGCATCCCTAATGATAAACTGGGCGGGCGTGACCCTCGCCGCCGGGCACTGACCCCCCAGCCGGGTGCCCGCACGTGGGCAGCGCGGGATCCGCTGTCGCATCCCGGGAGTTGCCGCCGCCCGCGCGGACTGGAGCGGCCCACCTTCATTCCTTGCAGCCAAATAAACACGCACCTCCGCTGGAAGGAGCGCGGCGAGACTCCAGCACCGATCCCGCTGGGCGGCGCCGCCTCCGCCCAACCCAGTCCCGGAGCCCCGCCGGCCGCGCGGGACTCGCTCCTTACGTAAGCCTGGAGCTCAGCTCCGCGGCACCACCGCCGCGCCCCCCTCCCCGCCCCCCGGGCAGACGTGCCCCGCGCGACCGGGGCCAGGCTGCGGGGGCGAAGGAAGGTGGAGACAACGCCAGCGAGAGGAACCGCCTGGGGACCCGGTCTGTTGTGCCGGGGACGGAAAAACACAACTTGTTGAGCGCCTACTCTGCGTCAAATTCGATGCTGTGCGATTTCATTATGCAACCTTTCTAGGTACGGATGGAAAAAGGAGGCTTGGAATTAGGACCATTCATTCACTCACTCATTTTTATATTCATCAGTGCTAAGTAAGCATCTTGAAAACCTGGCTGAGTGGCTCACGCCTGTAATCCCATAAGACTGAGGCTGGAGGATCCAGAGTTGAGGGCCAGCCTGGACTAGGCAGTGAGACCCTATGTCAAGGGGGAAAAAAAGGAGTAAACACCTATTAGGGGGCCCAGCACTATACTTGGGATGTAGCTGTGACGAGTGATCAAATTCTGCACCCATAATTACAGCAGCAGCTTTGAACCGTTGACTGACTCCAAAGCCCAGTGCCCAGGGAAAGAGGAGGGGCGTGCCCCTCCCTAGATTATTCCAGGACTTCTGTGGCCTGGATGTGTTACTTCCCAGACTCCTGTTCACCAAGCACAAATAGAGGTTCTCACTTCTTGCCCCTCACATAGGCCAGCACATACGCCCCACTCCTCATTTACTTTTTAAAAAATATTTTATTTTTTTATTTTATGTGTATGAGTGTATTGCCTGCATGTGTGTGAGTGCACCCGTGTCCTGCAATGCCGCGGAGGTCAGAAGAGGGCTGGAGTTAAGGACGGTTCCTACCCGCCTTGTGGGTGCTGGGAATCGAACTAGGGTCCTCTTGCAAGAGCAGTCAGTGCTCTTAACCGCTGAGCCATCTCTCCAGCCCCTACTTTTGTGTTTTGAGGCAGTGTTTTGGGCTGGCCTCTGGTTGGGATTACAGCAGTGGGCCACCAAATCCTGCTGCATGCTCTCTTAATTCTGGTCCCACTTTACCTGAAACCTTCACTTTCCCACCGCAAGTACTGGGATAATCACCTGTACATCTGTCTCTTCCACTTTGTATTTCCCATGCAGTTACTAGAAATACTGCTAAAGTAAAAACCCATTTCTGCCAGGTATGATATAAAACACCTTTAATCCCAACCCCAGAGAAGCACAGGTGGGCAGATCTCTGTGTTTGAGGCCACCCTGATCCAAATAGCAAGTTCCAGACCCTGTCTCAAAAAAATTTTTTTTTCTATTTCTCTTACTTGCCCACTTCGGGATAAGCAAAATCTTGCAGCAATGCCTTCCATATGCCTTTGCATCCCACCTCCCTTCCCCAGGCTGCCTGCCTTTCAGAGTTCAGAATTCTTTGCAGAGCTTAGAGCAACACCTCTCCTAACTCAGAGAGGGTGAGGGATACAGAAGCAGGGATGTTGCTGAGAAGGGCCTCCTCTGGATTCCTGGCTGTTCTGCATCGTGGAGGCAGTGGAGAGAGCCTGACGTGGTCTCCTGCCAACCTGGCTCCTCTCTGGTTGCCTCTCCACACACAGATTTGACAAGATAGCACACTCAGGCCACCAACCCCTGTGCCAACATTTGTTCCATAGCCTCATCTCCTAAAATATCTCAATGTACTATTGACCTTATTCTGCGCTTCCTCAGCCAGCCTGTCACTGAAGAACAGAGAGGGAGGGCTTGGGGGAGTGGGAGGAGGTCTAAAGCTCCCCTCTGCTGTATGCAATGAAATAGGTATTTGGTAATTCTTACAGTGGTTGTCAGACAAGAGCATCCATCAGAATCACCTAGAAGGTGGTTAAAGCATGTTGCTGAGGGACTGGGGAGTTGCCGCAAAGCAGGAGGACCTGAATTCAATCCTCAGAACACATGTACAAAAAGCTGGGTACATTGCTGGGGAGGAAGAGACAGGAGGATCCCTGGGGCTTGTTGGCCAGTCTAGCCAAATTGGTAAGCTCTGGGTTCCGTGAGACCCTATCAGAACTGAGGGAAACTACCTACTCTAGGTGTTCCACGGGGCAGAAGGTCTCTGGCAGTGCACCTCCAAAATGGCAGTGCTGCCGGAGACAAATTCAGCTGCTCATCTACAGAAACCTCACGACATTTGGCAAACAGAAGTGCTCTTTGGAGAAGACAACTGGAGCTGTCCACTTTCTTAACGTGGTTTTAAAGAAACAAACTTGACTTCATCTTGTTGCTCAAACCCAATAGGACGTTTTTTCACATCTTGAATTTACTTTTTTGTTGTTATTAAGAATTGGAAGAGGGGAGCTGGAGAGATGGCTCAGTGATTAAGAGTACTGGTTGCTCTTGCAAAGGACCTACCTGGGTTCAGTTCCTAGGACCCACATGGAAGCTAACAACCTCCATAACTCCAGTTCCAGGGGACTGATGCCCTCTTTTGCCCTCAGCAGACATGGCTCACGTGATGCACTTACAATACATTCAGGCCAAATACTCATAAAATATTTTTTTAAATAATTGGAGGAGCAATCCTTAATGCATGTAAATAAAATATGTTGCTTGAAGAAAATACCCAACTTTGACCTCTGGCCTTCACATGTGTGTACATACGTGTACACTTGCATGCATGCATGCACACACACACAAACCCATGTGTGTTACTGAGGCTCTCTAGATGAAACATGAGCTTATAGTCCCAATGCTGGGGAACTGAGAAGAGAAGACCATTTGACCCCAGAAGTTAGAGACCAGCCTTGGTAAGTAACAGTGAGAGCCCATTGCCCGCCCCCTCAAAAAATTTGAGACTGTGATTGCTAATTTTGGTTCAACTTGACACCTGGGTAAAGGGAACCTGAATCTAAGAATTGCCTCCATCAAATTGGCATGTCTGTGGCACCTTTTCTGGATTGTTAATTGATACACGATGGCCTAGCCCACTGTAGGCAGTACCATTCCTAGGCAAGTGGGCCTGGGCAGTATAAGAAGAGTAGCTAAGGATGAGTCCGGGAGAAAGCCAGTAAGCAGCATTCTTCCATGGTCTCTGCTTCAGTTCCTGCCTTCAGGGCTCCTCCCTTGAGCGCCTGCCCTGGCTTCCCTTAATGACATACTGCAACCTATAAAGTGAGATAAATACTTTCCTCTCCCAAATTGCTTTTGGTCAGATATTTTCATTACAGCAACAGAGATCAAACTAATCAAGAATTGAGTTTTCACAGGAAATAAGCCTTTAAAAATTATGTGTGTGGGGGGCTGGAGAGATGGCTCAGTAGTTAAGAACACTGGTTGTTCTTGCAGAAGACCCGGATTTGAATCCCAGCACCCACATGGCAGCTAACAACTGTCTGTAACTCTAGTTCCAGTGGATCCGACATCCTCTGACAGCCTCTTCTGACCTCCGCGGGCATTGCACAACATGGGTGCATTTACCTACATGCAGGCAATACACGCAAACACATAAAACAAAAATAAACTTTTTAAAAAAATTGTGTGTGTGTGTGTGTGTGTGTGCGCGCGTGTGCGTGTTAGTATTCCCAGTGGATCCATGCAGATGCCTGAGGGGCCCAGAAAAGGGTATCAGATCCCCTGCAACTGGAATTAGTGGTGTTTTCAGCCACTTGATGGGGATGGTAGGAACTGAACTTTGGTCCTTTATAAGAACAGCAAGTGCTGAACCATCTCTCCCAGCCCTGGAAATAAAGTTTTTAACATGTACAAACTAGATGACCCACAGACCATGTTGCCCTGTTCCTTGGTTCATTGCCTACATTTGAAATGTCTTTACCATTTATAATTGCAATGTCCCCTTTGTGCCATGGAGTAAGGGTAGTCACCCACATGCTCCTAGAATATTGTGCTTTTAAACAGCTTAAATTATGAAACCAGAAGAGTTTGACACATGCAAAACACATTAGAGAAATCCTCAAGGTCCTCAGTGGGCCCCCTGGGCATGGCCACCTTGAGAGTCCCTCCAGCTCAGCTGATGATATGAAAACTCAGAAGAGGTTTTGAGTTCAACACAGGTGGGGAACAAATCTCAGTAGCATCATTCACTTACTAAATCTCTCAGTCTTTGTGAACTTCAGTTGATTTATATGTAAAGCAAAGAAAATGCCTAGTTCAAATGCTTATGGTAAGGCTTAAATGAGACCATATAAGATGATAGATAGATAGATGATAGATAGATAGATAGATAGATAGATAGATAGATAGATAGATAGATAGATAGATAGATAGATGATA